TGGAGGTATTTTGAAGAAGGGGAGACATGGTGCTTGAGGACATGGTTTAGTGGTGGACTTGGCAGTGATAGCTTAACGGTTGGACTCGATGATCATAAGGGTCTTTTCCAACCTTAACGATTCTATGGTTCTAAGATAGGTGTTGAGGTGGGGTTATTATCCTGACATAACCCCAGTAATTAACCAGTTAAATACATTAACTATGAAATGCATTAAAATTCAATCTCTTCGTTTCTGCAAAGGGCTAAAATGATGTTAATCTCTCTACCAGTATCATTAAGTCCGGTCACAAAACTTTCTCCAAAATAGCCATATAGAGGTGTTCTCCAAATCAAAGTTCAGACAGTAATATTTAATAAAATAATGTTTTCCTATCCCGTCTTACTAGGTCAGACTGCAAACCCAGCCTAAGCCACAGCCTGGTCAGCCTCCGCTCTATTCTGGGACCTTTGACTGCTTCAGAAAGACTCTTGTTGGAGAGGTACCGTGCTAGCCTGTCATCTGCGATGCTTGCCAAAAATATCAGTTGTTCCTGTACGTTGCAGGAATGGAATCGTGTGGGAATGTTGCCCCCCAGAGACTATACAATTCTTGGGTTATCAGTTGAATTGATTCTAATTAAAATTTTTAAGCAGATTGCAAAACTTGGGGAATACTTAGCATCCACATACTCCGGGTGCACGTCTCTTTGTTTTGTTAAGAAATGCTTTTGGTTCAAAATAGTGTGATATTAATATCTGAAGTTACAGACCAGAGTGAATGTTGGCAGTTGTTTGCTGGCTTTGTTGTTGTGGTCGGTGGAATCTTGCTGTCTTTGGTATTTGGAGTGGTCTCTGGAAATCCTAAAATAGGCAATGACTTTTGTTGATACAAGCAGTACTTTTACTTTCTTCTGTAATGTGTTATGCCATCTACGAGAAGGCAGAGGAGCATTAATTAATAGATTTTTTTTCTTTTTTTCTTTTTTGCGAACAGAGAGTGAATTATAGGAGTTTTGTTCATTCTTCCTCAGAAGGTGGACAGTGGTTTTTGCTCCTGAATCAGCCATATCATGCGATATATATAGTCTATTTTGGTTTTAGAAAGGCACGCGGCCTTGGTTTAAAGTCTTTAAGTGACATAGAAGCCAGTTTTCTGCTTCGTAAGTTTTCCCAGCAGCTATTACCATTTGGAAACAATGGCTATAAAGCCCAACTGTTTGTTTAGTCGTCTGAAGCTTCATTTCTAACCACTGGATTTTGTTAGGTAACTCGGTTAAATGAAAGATCTGCCTCACATCTGAAATCTACTTTCGTTACGGTATTAACAGGCTGTTACATAACCAAAGTAAATCTTGCCTCCCTAGTCTCTCCCACAAAGCGCTGAAATGCTTTGCTAGCTCTGAATCCCTTGCGGTTTTTAACACCCCTGCTGAAGCACGGACGTCAGAGCTGAACCATAATAGCCCTGTGATGTGAAGTTCGAAAGTAACGCTGCCTCTCTACTCCTACTCAATACTCATCGGTTTCTGTAAGGAAAACTATTAAACCTCTCTGCCAAGGCCTTTTGTTTCCCGCTGCTCGTGGGAAGATTGAGCAGGAGTGTCTGATCTTTGTCAGCCAAGATACAATTTCATTAGAGTCAGCTGTGCCTGTAAGCATACAGACACGTACTGGGATACACTGATTTGTTGGGGGGGGGGAGGAAGGGGCGGATGGACCAGCAAATATTTAGTTTGCGCATCTAGCCTTTATCTAGAAAGATAACTCTCCTTTTTATTAGAAAAAGTTCAGTTCAAAGGGAAGATAAATGAAATAGATGCGACTGCTGGGGTCTGCATTAGAATTTTTCCATGTGTGTAGTCTGACGAAGGGAAACATCAGGAATGTGAAGTTGTATGGTGAAAAAGTTTTGACTTAGGGAAGGAAAGAAAAAATCATTTGCTCTTGAACTCGTTCCAAATTGAGTTTGCGTGGGGAGTGAAGTAGTTCAGGTTAGTTTCCCTGGCTCTTCCATTACCTAAAGAGTGAATTCCATTCAGCGTTCTCAGGCTCAGGATTTTACACTACTGCATTTCCTGACTTATTAATAAAGCACAAGTGTATTTTTGTATGTATCTGAGAGAGCCGACTTTTGACATAATCTATTAGAACTATTATTCAGGTAGCTTTTAACGTAACTTGCTCATACTTGAGGTGTTCAAGTATAGGATGAACGGTATTGGAACAGAGATGTGTAAGTGGTGGCAGTGTTTTCCAGGAAGGATAGCTTTCCTCTGCAACAGGCCCTGAGCCTCAACTAAACATGTATAATTGAAAATGAACAATACAACCCATTATTTCTCTGATTAATTTGACTGGCTGACTGATACTATCCTGTATTGTAGCCTTTCACTTCTCAATAAGTTGAAATATGTGGAAAATCTATGCAAAACAAAGTAATTCTTTTGATGACGTTTCTTGCAGGGAGTCCGAGGCTTATACAGAGGAATGGCAGCTCCTATTATCGGAGTGACACCCATGTTTGCTGTGTGCTTCTTTGGATTTGGCTTGGGAAAAAGACTCCAACAGAGAAAACCTGATGACGTTTTGACGTGAGTTTCTGAGTTAATCAGACAGTTGGGAAAGGCACCCTAAGGCTCTTGCAGCCTGCTGTATTGTCGCACATGGAGTTGTGGTGTAAATTTGTCTCTTCTCCTAGGTTATAAATAGAGTTCTAAAAAATAAAACACTTGTGTGTTTTAATGCTTCTGGAAGCGTGGGACTGATAGCACAGGCTAAAAACAGACAGCATGTGGGCAGGTGCTATGCAATTCCCTTTCTACGCAAGAAAGAGCCATTAAGGAACAATTCCGTTTTAGATGAGTATAGTGCGAGTTATATAATGATTGCCTGCCAACAGTCTCGCTATTAACAGAAACTATGGGAGAAATAAATTCATGGTCAAGCAGTCTTGACAACATTCACACTCCTGATTCTCTTTTCCCTGTTAGTTGTGACTCTTGCTGTGTCCTTACGTTAGGATATAATAATAGCCATAGAAACGTTTTATCATTAATTTCTGAAAAGTGGTGTTTATGAGCAGCCCTCCTCTCAGGCATGTCTAACCTTCTGGAAAAGAGATGGAAAGCTAAGAAAACTTTGTGTGGCTTTCCACCAGCTAACTTATGCATGAAGTAAGTCCCCCACCCATAAAATGCTCCCTTAACTTCTTCGCTGAGTTGCGATTTAAAGCTCTACAGGAACAGAACTGTAGCTTAGCAACATTTTATTCTATTATTTGTGCAATACGTAGGAGCCCCGTCAGAAAGCAGGAGTCCATTGTGGTGAGCCAAGCGGGGCAGGGTGGGGAGGTGCGGTTTCTGTCGCTGTGCCCAGCTGTGCTGTATTGCGGGTGCAGACTTCACACAGTAAGATACAGTAAGATGTGCTTGGGACGTGAGGCCCAAAATTAAAGGTCAGACTCGTAGCACCATGGTTATGGGTCCAGAGGCAGGCAGGATGGCAGTGGTCCCCCATGCTGATTTTGAATGGAAGTTCTGGAAGGAAGGAGATGGAGAGAAACCTGAGAGCCTGTTGTGTCTTTTCTGGGGCTTAATAATCCCAAGGTGAGCTAGGAAACTCAAAGCTTAGTTTGAGCAGGAGGTGCATGTGGAGTGGTGAGGGAGGTCTGAATGGTCTGGAAGATTGAGTGGGAACATAAAAGAAAGGTGTAAGAATTGGAAAACCTGAATAGAATGCCATCTCTTGGGCAAGTGGAGAGAAGCGGGAGGTGTGGAATTTAGTTAAATTGAGATGTTAGGTCATTTACTAGGGAAGGTAGCAGGAGGTTGGATGTAAAGATAAGTTTGTGGTGGAGAAACTCAGCCTGTTTGACGGATTTCTGTCACGGAGACTTTGCCACGTGAAAGCAGATGCAGAACGTGTGGGATGAGGGCAGGTTGGTAGGACAGGCTCGACGATGGCAGAGGCTGAGGGAGTGAGGGCCTGAGAGGTTTCAGAAAGGCCGCACATGCGTGTGGAAGCTGGGGTCACCGAGAAGAGTGTGGGAGACTGGAGGAGGAAGAGACTGTTGGGAATAAAAATGAATGGGGAATGCTGTAGCAAAAAATGCAAATACAAGGAGTATCAGCAAACACAATGGATGCGAAGAGCTGAGTTATGGTTGCTGTGGGAACCAGCGCTTTGAATCCTAGAGATCTTAAACATTTAGCTCTAATTATGCATTGATGAGGCACTTCTGCATGGATCAAAAGCAGTGGATGCACTTCTAGTTCCACTGCCAGCCTTGTGTGGAAGAGCATAATCTGGGGATTCAGGGGTCTTTCTGCCCTTCGTTTCCTATGTGCTGTGTTGTCTTAGGGTCTCTTCTGTTTCCTCGGGGCAGATACCCTCAGCTGTTTGCTGCTGGCATGTTGTCGGGAGTGTTCACCACAGTAATCATGGCTCCAGGAGAGAGAATCAAGTGCCTTTTACAGGTAAGGCATTGGATGGTGGTGAGGGGAATTTAATTTTAGGGGATCTTGTCTTTCCATACCAGGAACTTCGTTGGTTAGTGTATTTACCCTGTTCTGTTTTTTGACAGGACTGAGACAACTGTCATTTAATGCAACTGTGTCACGAAGAAGCATTACACAAACTCACCGTGACAGCATAAGTACATACAGCATTCATTGCTCTATTCATTTGACAGAGCACAAGCCTTATACTACGTGGCATTACATGAGGCATCGATGGATGCCTCAATCCACTTCAAAGTGTGGAAAAGTCCAGTTTTTCAGAATGAAACTTTTTCTAAAAAAAAAATGCAAAACTACTAAATCATAAGATTCTTTTTAGTGTAAAGATTTTCTGTTACCTTGACAGGTTCCCAAAACGTAATTGAGGAATGCATTTCAAAATACATGAAATAGTTTTCTCGTGTTTGGGGGACTGTTAGCTCTACACCTCCTCCAGGGTTTTTAAAGTACTGTTGGAAAGTGTAAACGTGAACAAATGAAAATACCGTCTGTAGCAGAGATGGGAAGGTTTGATTCTTTCAGACTATGTTGCGCTCAGTTAGTATGGTGAGGGGTGGTCACATGTTAGTTCTGACAGACGTGATATTATCATGGAAGCTTTTATACACATACAAATTGTTTCAGTTTCGCTAAACTATTTGAAGGCTACTTTTTGTCAGTGCAAGTGTAGAATTACCTAACTGACTTCAGTTGTTTCAACCTTACACTGGGCAAAAATAAGGGAGAATCTAGCCTCTGCATGGAACAGTAAACATATCCTCAGCTTGAATGTGAGAGAGCCGTTTGAGGAAGCGATGCAGAGGTTTCCTATGCAGGAGTGCCTGTGGAACGAGTATGCGCTCCTTCCTCTCTGGAAACATGCACGTGGCTTCCTGACTATCAGCTGAATGATTGTTCACCAGCCAGAAACCTTCACTAGTCAGAAACTATCACTTTAATCCTTCAGATCCAGGCAGCTACAGGTGAAACTAAATACAGTGGCTCTTTGGACTGTGCAAAACAGCTGTACCGCGAGGCTGGGATTCGTGGCGTGTACAAGGGGACAGTGCTCACCCTCATGAGAGGTAACTGATGGGGACGTTCTGATGCTTCTTCTGCGTGGGGTACTTTAAGATAAGAAACCTGACAGAGTATCATAGATCTCGCTGTCCCTTTAGCCAATTGGAGATGCTGTATCACCCTTTTTTCTTTTTTTGCAGTCTGCAGAGCTCCTCCAATGCCTCAAAGGGACTGAGAAATAAACATGAGATTCTCAGTGAGTGAGGAGGTGATTAGATGACAAGGATCAGAGGGATATAGGAAGTAATTAAGATCTGAGAAGCCAAGAGGAATGAGAGGCTTCAGGAGAGGAACAGAGAGAACAAAGAGAAAAGAAAAATACAGAAGTGGGCTTTTTTTTTTTTCTTTTTTTTTTTTTTTTCTTCCTTGGGAGAAGGATTGCGACTGTCCGCGACTGTTGCTGTGTAACGCTGGCTGCTTTAAGAGATGTGATTGCAGCAGTTATGCTTTCTGCCCGCTTGAGTGTGGGTTATTTTGGACTGGGATGTCATGACCCTTCTCACAACAACAAAGTGATTGTGCCAGACACCCAATCCTTTACGTGTTTCGGTACTTTCGCCTTTGAAAAGCGTTGGATTGTTCCCTGTAGCGGGGCAATGTTTTCCAAGGATAAGCTGGAATTTCTTTATTTTGATATCTCAGTTTAGGAATTTGTTCTGTCCTTTGCTTCTCATAGTAGCGTACCGGCTAGCAGTGTAACTCCGGCAGTGTCCCTAGCCAGAGGCTGCTTCTCCAGTTTAGGCATGAGCTAAGAATGGGCTGTGGGAGTACCTGAAAAAAACCCCAAACAAAACCCATCAACTACAAAAAAAAAAAAAGAAAAACACAAATAGAATTATTAGAACAAATAGTGTGCAAAACTCTTGAAGTTCCTGAACTGCTCTGATCTGCTTTGCAGCAATTAAGAAAGCTTAGAGCTTTCTCATCATTAGCTTAATGGCCAGCAGGGAGTTCCAGTCTGATCTGAAGGGCTGCTGACAGAAGTGCTCAAGAACAGATATTTTTCCCAGTTCTTGTCTTTAGCACCTGCTGTCCCTGGGAAAGTTCAGGCTCCTCTGTCTGGAGCAACAGAAGATTTTATTTTGTTTGTAGAGGAGGTTCAGAAAAGGAGTCTGGATGTACTTAGCAGTGTTGCTGAGCTGGCATGGGGCTGCTGTCCCTCTGGGCTTCGTTTTGTTTCCCACTACTCACAGTCTTTGTTGTTTACCCACCAGACGTCCCAGCCAGCGGAATGTACTTCATGACGTACGAATGGCTGAAGAACATTCTGACCCCTGAGGGAAAAAGGTTAGTGAAATCTCACAGTCATCGTTTTTCTGGACTTCCCCAGTTATGAAGACATTTAAAGCAGTATCATCAAAACAAATTTTTTAAAAAAAAAAAAAGGTCGCTCGTCCTGTGAGTTGAGCCGTTTTGGTCTGAGTTAGCTGACAATTAAAATAGTATTCTGAGTTTCTCCCAGATTCTAGCCTTGGATCTTATTAGCCAAGTAAGGAATGCTTAAAGTAGGTCTCTTCACGTTCACCCCTGTGTGCGCACAAAGAGCTGGGGGGTTTTGTTGTTGTGTTTGTTTTCTTCCACGGGATGAAAAGATTTGAACCTTTAGGGTGGAGTTAGTACATTTTGCCCGTGGGGCTCCGATTCTTGGAAATCTTGCTCAGATACTGCACTCTGCAGCATTGCGCTGCCTTCTGGCTGTCAGCCAGGCTGCCTCTTACGTTGTCACCTTGGTTAAAACAGATGAGTTTTTACTTTTTTTTTCTTTTTTTCTTTTTCCTCCCACCCGACCCCAATCCCTGCCACAGTGTGAGTGACCTCAGTGTGCCTAGGATCCTCTTTGCTGGGGGCCTGGCTGGGATCTTCAATTGGGCAGTTGCCATTCCACCAGACGTGCTGAAATCCCGTTTCCAGACTGGTGAGTCGCGTGCCAGCTTGTCACCGTCGCACTCGGCGCGATGCTCCTGGGAACGGGCAGGGCAGCGATGGAAGATGCCATCTGAGCGTGGCATCTGGGAGGCAGCATGGCTTGAGCACTGCTCGAGACAAGTACATGAAAAAACCCAAGTGTGTTCCTAGCTTTTTAGTTGGCTTCCTCACAAATTTTTGGCAAATGAGGTTGCGCTTTTCTGTCTCTGCCTCCGTGCTAATATAATGATCCCGCTTTGGGATACCTGTTTTGAAACCTAAGCATAGAAGTCATAATAATAGAACTGCTTGTCACGGCTGTTTTATTACAAATGTAATTCTTTTGAGAGGTTTTGTTACTGCACTCCAGACGTAGTTGTATAAATTGTAGCCTGTGCTATCTGAAATTTGTAGTAACTGGGCGTGCCTTGCCGAGAGCGTTGCTTTTAGACTCGCAGATCTGCTCTTAAGTATCTGTGGCCTAGTTATAGTGAGGGTGGCCCCAGGCCTTCAGCAAAGTTTGACAGGTTTGTTGCTGGTTTCTCTGGGAGTCCTAGTCAACGAATATTTTTGTTAAGGCTCCTGGTATTCTCCGTCTGTAGACTCAGCTCTCCACTGGACAGTAACCATTTTTCTTGAGTCACGGATTGTGATAATCCAGTGCAGGAAACTTCTTTTTCTCTGAATAATGGCTGCTGTGGTGGTTTGGTGTCGTACCAAGGGCGGAGCGTGAAACACGTTACAGCTTTGCATCCTTATTCCACCGAGCCAATCCCCAGTGCCGGTCTGCGGATGACGTGCTTTAGCGGTGGTTCCGTTGAAGAGGCTTGGTTTGCGGAATACTTGTTGAGAGGGCTGGCAGGGACAGTATTTTCCAGAGAAGTGTCAGGAGAAGGAGGAACTTGTTCTTTGAATAAAATAACTTTAAAAACACCTCAGCAAATCTGTGTAACGTCAATATTACAACAGCCTGTGCTTTTCACTTGAAGTTTGTTGCTATTCTTGGCTGGGGCATGTGATAGGATCATTTTCTGTTTCTTATAAACAAACTTCAGCAATTTTTATATCTGACCTTCCTATTTCCGAATTGCAGCTCTCGGGAGAGCTGCGATCAGCGGCGCAAGTAACAGCTCAGACATCCAACCCTGGCAAAAGTTATTCTCCTTTCTTGCCTGCCCCCCAATGACTTGATTAGGTAAATTCTTTGTGGTGACGGTGAGCGCTTACCTTCTGTTTACTGAGTCTTTAGTAAGGTGGGGTTTTTTGTTGGCTTGCTTTTGACTGAAATAGATAATTTTCCCAAGCAGGTATTTTCAGTGTAGCTTCAGCAGTGCTTGGATTCTGGTGTCACCTAGATGGTACAGCAATGTGAACCTGTTGAAAAGCCTGGGTTGTCACAGACGCCACATTCGTCAGCATTTGTGACTGCCCCACATCTTAGCTCATGTGTTTTGTATCCCTTTCAGCTCCTCCAGGAAAATACCCAAATGGCTTTAGAGATGTGCTGAGAGAACTTATCAGAGAGGAAGGAGTTGCATCTCTCTATAAGGGCTTCACAGCTGTCATGATCAGGGCATTTCCCGCTAACGCGGTAAGTAAATTGCGATTCCAGATGGGTTTTGGGGACCTGGCCGCTCACCGTGAATATTTGCGGTCTGTAGAGGAGACGACTGGCTGCTTCCTGTCGTACCATTTCAGTGAGATTCTTGTCGCTGCAGGCGCTTTTGGCCGTTGGTGTCCAGGTTCTCAAAATGTACCTCAGTCTAGGGGGAACACCAAGTAAACCTTCCTTTGAAGTTTTGCATGAAAGCCCTTTGACACGTTCTGATAGCATTTCTTGTCTGATTGTACATCCACCGGTAGAAGACAGAAATGTGTGGATAAGTTTGGACTGGCTTCCCCTTCAATAAATAATGAGCCTAACTGAGTAGGAGTTCTGCCTTTGCCTGGAGGGATATAGTGGAATTCTTGCCTCTGGTCCAAGACCATTTTTTGTTCTCTTCCTCCTTCCACATCAGCCACGTCAGGTGTTTATAGTGCTGCATTTCAAAAACCTTGTTTGGGAGAGGTTTTTAGAATCCTTACTTGTTCTGTATGTTCTCTTTTGCAGGCATGTTTTCTTGGTTTTGAAGTCGCTATGAAGTTTCTTAACTGGATTGCACCAGGTCTATGAAGACTTGGAAGTCCTTGGAAAATAGAGAGGAGAAGGAAGAGAGTGCAAGTCTGCCTCAAAGGAATAAACGAATGATCACTTGAAGTTTCAGGAATGATTGCTTGCCTAATACCTTTTTGCCTTCCTCCCATTCTTTCAGCGGTGCTATGTGCCGTTCAGAAACATAAGCTGTAGCTCTGAAACAGAGTTGGTGAGGAGTTAGAGGTGATACACCCGCCCTCTGAGCCGATGTACCACAGGAGTCATGCTGCTAACAGACAGCTGTCACTATTACACACACTACCTTAAGTACTTCCTCATGGAAGAAGGCGACACTTCTTAAAATGTAATTCTTTATTTACTGAAGAAACATGTAGCTATTAATGCTGAAAAACTTCCTTAAAGTAATTGTTTGGCAATTGTACTTAACTCTCAGGACACGAGTTAGCAGCTGCACATACTCGTATCTACAAGCAACGTCAGAGAGAATTCTCATCTCTTGTAGTTTTTTTGTTGTGGCTATTTCTGGGTTGACAGCAGTTTTAATCTTCCCTGCGTGTAATGCAGCGAACGCAGAACTGAGCAGGGGAGGCCAGAGCTACGCTTCAGTGTGTTGAGGGGTATTACAGATACCGTATCGCATCTTGCACACTGATCTTTTCTGTGGAACTCGGAGGAAAAATGAATTACGCTTAACATTTGTACTAAGCTTTACTGAGGCAGCCAGTGGGGAAATGTGTTCGATCCTGAACTTTTCTCCAAAACCCCTTTCTGTCCCACTGAAGACCTCCCAAAGGCAATTTCAAAAGTACAGTGTGGTTCATAGCAACCCACGATATATTTGATTCGTCAAATGCCGTGTCCTGGGATTCAATCCCTGACCTGAGAAAATCTAACAGCACTTCCAAGAGCGCGATTTCTCTGACACCAGGGGGATACATGAAGGGGACCCTGGCTCTGCAGTCTCATCTAACTTTATTCTTGCTCCTGTTCCTTGGTTTTCTCTTAATATCATTAAACATAATCGTATTTTCATTTGAAAAATGACTAATGCTAAGAAGCAAAAAGCACCTTTAATTTCTTTTGGTTTGATGCAGTGTTACTGGAACTCAATAAAGCGAGCTGCTGCTTGGCTAGGATGCGTGCCTCGGGTCATTTCCTTTTTGCGTGGTCATGCATGGTTAGTTTTGCAAAAGTTTTCCAATTCTTAATTCTGAGATGATTGGGGAAATAAGCTGTGCCGTGCTGTCTGTAATTGTTAACCCCTTGCCTTTTAGCTTCTGGATTTCTGACAGGAGCCGTGGAAATGAATGTTCCGCGCTTCACCTGTTTGTCACACGAGTCCCGTTAGGCGCTGTGTTGCAGCCGCAGCTTTTAAACTCTTAACGCCAGACATGAAATAACGCCTCGCTTGTGGCAAGTATTTTTTGTTTCCCAGGGAGAGGCCTGGACGCGGAGCTCAGGCACAGCATCCGTCCTGATGCCCCCCAGGAAGGGAGGCCGAGAGTTTGTCCTCGGTCTGGCGTGGGCCGTGGCCTGTGCCGTAAGGCGCAGTCTTCCCCTTGGCTTTCCACAGGCAGGGGCAGCCCTGAACACCTTCCATCCGAAAGTGTTGCAGAAGCCTTGAATCCCACTTTTCTTCCCAATTCTTTGGAAGGACCAGAAGGGAACCTGCCTTCCCCTGCCTCCACCTCGTGTTTTACAGGGCGGGGGTGTGAAACCAATGAGGAAGCCCCTGGTGTGGGAAAATCCCAGTTGCTCGGAGCTGCCTCCGCGTCCTCGCTGCTGCCTTCCCTGTTCCTCGCTGCTCAGTAACCTGCTGCCGCTCCTGCTTCTCAAAGTCACTGCAGCTATGGGCGAATTAAATACTTAAAGCACGAACACTGAGTTAATGCTGGTTCAGAGACGTGGTGATTAATGGACATTAACCTCTCAAATAGTTTTAAACACGACTCTAGGTTTACTGAGGCTAAAGCCAACCTAGTTTCAAGAGGAGCAGGTCTGCTTTTGTGGCTCTGTGCTTCCTGACCACCGAATGCTACCCTGTACCGCTTTCGTTCCCTAGTGGCTCTGGCCACCTTTCTGACTTCGGTGCTTGGGCTGTGATGCTCAGAAGCAACTTTCAGGCTTAAGGAGTGTTAGAAAGCTGATTTTTTTTTTCCCCCCTTCCCTTTTACTTACGTGTTCCAGAAATACTGATGCTTCTTGGGAGGGACAGACGTGCACCTTCTTTCTTAAAATTCCAGACACTGATGCTTACCGCTGCCAATTCCAGCTGCTCAAATACCGCGTCCTGTTGTGCTCCTAATCTCACAGGAAGAGCTGAAGGGTTGGAAATGCTGTTCTCGCTTGGTTTATGATGCAGTTGCCCAGCAGATGGCTGTCTGGGGCTGCCAGCAGCATGCACAAACCTGCAGGTCCAAAGGCAAGGTCAGAGGCAAGGAAGCCAGCGGCCAGCAGCTGCTGCCGGCAGGGGGGCCCGTCCCTTTGTGGCAAGTTGCAACTTTCCGAGTTGGGCTGCAAAAGTTTTAATTCTCTGTCAGGACAGAGAGGCAGCTGGAAGGCAGGAGAGGGGCAGGGGAAAGGAAGCCCGGCGCCCAGCAGCTGCTGCCGGCAGGCTGCCACGTCCCTTTGTGGCAAGTTGCAACTTTCCGAGTTGGGCTGCAAAAGTTTTAATTCTCTGTCAGGACAGAGAGGCAGCTGGAAGGCAGGAGCCTCTTCTCCACGTCCATCCTGCTGAGGAAGACCGTGAGCTTGGTGATGCGCTGCGCTCCCTCCCGTCCCAGTCCCATTAGTCTGAAGCGCTGCAGTCTGTGAAAAAATATTTAAGTTTTGGAAACCAGATCAGGCACTAGTAATGCCCTGGATTCGGTTGCTGGGGTTAAGAGCGCAGCTCCTCCATCAGGGCACCGAGGAGCCGCCTTTTAATGTGTGCTGGCCTCCAGCACTTACCTGGGCTCTGCTGTCACCAGCGCGGGCTTACACGTCTGTGGCCTTAAGCCGTATCGGCTCTGAAAGGCTGAGCAATTCCCCACGCTCTCTAATACTTCAGTTGTTATACTAACTAAACCATCTCCCTGCTGCCAAACGATCCTTTTTAATACTTTTTTTTGAAGCATTTCAGATCCTTTTTCCAATTTCAATTGTCCTAATTGTATTCTCCCGAATCTGAAGTTTTTGCAGAGCTTTATATTTTGCATGATAAAATTCTGGCTGTTTAACGCTGCTTGATTTCATTTGGTGCTTTTAGGTAAGTAAAATATGGAAGAAGGGAATCAGGAATGAGGGGCTGCTTTCCAAAACCGGTGGTGGGAGGAGAGGAGCTTTGGGAAGGCCGATGGGACACATCTGCTTGCTTGTTCAAAAACTGAACCCCAGGCACCCTGGAAATGCTTAAAAAGCTGCTCGTGTCTCTCAAGCTCTGCCATATAAAACTTGCCAACTCCTTGCTCCCTGGTGCGTGCAGCCTCAGAACGAGAGAGGGATTTTAACCCAGGTACAGCTTCCTGCACACTGAGGACTCTCTTGCTTTCAGAAGCCCAGATTTGCGTTTGAATATTATTTTCTAATTGCCCAACTTCTTGTGGGCATCGAGGTAGCGTGTATACAGGGTAGTGACACGCGGCGGGTAAGCTGGGTCTCTGTACCAGCAAAGGATACCGATGCCATTTGTCTTTACGCTCCTTGCGCTGATAGTATATGGTTTTGCTATATGAAAATCACCATAGAGTTCCACAAAATGCTTGTGCTGTACATCTGCCTGGCCCGTCCTGCTTGGATGCAAGTGATTTTTTTTTCCAGTGGTGATTCAAGGTGCCTGGAAATATTCCAGAAGCAATCCATGATACATAAATCTTCCATGCTTGCGTTTCTCTGCCCGTTGTGTGATACCCTCCCGCCAGGTATCCATACACATTGGTAAGATCCTCCTGCAGCCTTCTCTTGGCCAGGCTGAACAATTCCAGCTCTCTCAGCCTCTCCTCGTATTGCAGATGCTCCAATCCCTTCATCATCTTTGTGGTGCTTCGCTGGACTGCTCCAGTATGCCCACGTCTCTCTTGTACTGGGGAGCCCAGGACTGGACCCAGGGCTCCAGATGTGGCCTCACCAGGGCTGAGCGGAGGGAAGGATCACCTCCCGTGACCTGCTGGCTATGCTCTTCCTAAAGCAGGCCAGCAGGCGGGTGGCCACCTTTGCCACAAGGGCATGTTGGTTGCCCATGCTCAACCTTTTTTCCACCGGGACCCTCGTGGCCTTGGCTGCACGGCTTCCCAGCTGGTCGGCCCCTCCAGCATCGACTCGTGCATCGAGTTATTCCTCCCCAGGAGCACGATTTTATACTTCCCTTTGGCAAACTTCATGCGATTCCTGTTGGTCCAGCTCTCCAGCCTGTCAAGGGCTCTCTGACTGGTGACACAAGCCTCTGGGGTACCAACCACTCCTGGCTTGGCACCATCTGCAAACGTGCTGAGCGTGCACTCTGTCCCATCCTCCAGGTCATTAATGAAGATGTTGCAGAGTAGTGGCCCCAGTACTCACCCTGGGGTACGCCTGTAGCGACTGGCCTCATCACGGGTCACCTGGATGTCATGCTGCTGGTCCCAGCCCTCAGAGCCTGGCAGCTCAGCCACTTCTCAGTCCACTGATCTAATCTGTACTTCACCAATTAGTCCAGGGGGATGTCACGGGAGACAGCATGGAAAACCTTGCCAAAGCCAAGATAAACAACCTCCACTGCTCTCCCCTCATCCACTGAGCTGGTCATCTCACCATCCATGACTTTCCCACTGGTCTCAGGGGCCTGGGATTGCTGAGGCTGCTCCTGCCAGCAGCTGTAGGAAAAATACCGCAATAAACTGGTGGGTGGCATTTTGGAGCTGTCCTACAGCAAGTGATCTTTGACCACGACCAGAATAGTCCCCTCCGGTGGCCTGCAGCCCCAGGGCAGGCAGGCACCTCACACATGCGGCGTGGGATGGTTCTCCTCAAGACATCTCGCTTCCAACCGTAATGCGTGACCGCGCTGCTCGCTCGTACAGGCCACGGACAAAAATGCCTGCTGAGTCAGCGGCACTGGGCCGTGTACGCCGCGGCACCGTGCTGCTGCCATCGGGCGTGCTCTGTGCTGAAGGGCTTTAATAACACTGCTCAACTGTTCCCGTTTGAAAATAGGCCCAGCTGCCCTGGCAGCTGTTTGCTGGGGACTTTTGCTCCTGACCCAGAGGATGGCAGGGAGACGCCTGCCCTGCAGCCGGGGGCTTCCCGGCAGGGAGGGCCGTAGGGATTGCTGGGATTCCTGCCCCTTCCCCGCTCTCCGGGATGCATTTCGGGTGATCTGACTGCGTGTGGCTGTGCTCATTCATAACGGCGGGCTGACCGCCTGCCCAGCGGCTGCGGACGCGGCTCTGTCTGACCCTGGCTTATGCCGCGCTTTGCCGTTCTGCCCGGTAGACCCTGCCTGGAGAAAGCCGCCCTGTGAAGGAGAGGGAATGGGCTGCCTGATGCTGGGTG